TTATTTAAAACAATTTTAGACAACAACGCCAACAGTTTCTTCAAAACACAAAACTCGTCAATTCCCGGAACCTACAACTCGCTTACCTGTTAATTATGCATCAGATCCTTACAAAAATAAAAACAATAATTATTTTCCAAGAAGGGAAGAGCAACAAAAACAAAACAGAATTTATCCTTCCCCAACTCCTCCAAAACCTGTTGTTGTTGCTGGACCATCAAATCAACGAATTCCAACAGTTAATAACCAAGAACTTTTGAATAAAAGCCCAGAACCAGCCCCTCTTTACCCAGAAGGGAGTGAGAACAGCAACAATAACAACAATTTAAGTGAAGATACTCAAGATTATTACAATTACGAAGAAATCTGGACAACAGAATCCCCTCCCCAAAATCTCCAAATACCAAAACCTATAACAACAAAAGTAGAACCAACACAGCCTTCTTCATCCTCCTCTTCTTCTTCTTCCTCAACAAACCAACAAGACAAAAACTTTGGTTTTGAATTGCCCTGTACAGGCTTTTCTGATGAAAGTTGCTTCCAACAACAAACACAACTTCGCCCAAACGAAATACATCGTTGTTGTCGAGGCAGAATATTATTTTCTGATTTGTGTGTTTCTGGAAAATGTTCCAACACAACAATCCAACTTTGTTGTATTCAACGTTTTTTACAAGCAAAATTAACTTGTTGCTCCGATGAGCGCTTGGCAGAGACTAAAACTGGGGACCATTTTTCTCGTTGTTGTTTTGATAATTTTGTGGATAGTGACGATGTTTGTTGTCCTAGAGAATATGCTAATGAACAGTGGAGAAGTGTACATGAACTGTGTTTACCTAATGTTGAGATGGACTTAAGTGAAGTTAAAGTGCCTGTTCCGTTAATGGGAACTTCTCTTATTGTAAGTTTGGAAAAGGGGGAAATTGTGAAAAATATTGAATAGGGCTCCGCCTAGAAATACCCCTTTGGGATTGAAAAAATAGTATCTTATAGTGAGGGGTATCTTAAATTGGGGGTATCGCTTAGACAGCTCTCCTCCTCCCCCCCCCCCCCCCCCCCCCCCCCCCACACCGTGGCCGATCGAATATTTCTTAAACTGAGGTATATCCCGCATTAATGTGTATCTTCTAATCTGTCCAAAATAATTTTTTAGACGGAATTTGACTTTGCCAAAACAGACAAATGGCGTTTTGAATGTCGTTATGGAGGACATACAAGGCAATTTAGCTATTTTGAACAACCTACAAGTCAGGAAGGAGAAGAAAATAATGAGGGAGAAAGTGAGGAAATTAATTGACGAAAAAGATGATTTTGTAAAAAATATATTCTCGGGTTTCAAAATTCACATATTTTTAATAGCTAGTAGTAATTATGCTACGTCTACATAAAAAACGCCAGCGTTTTGCGGAAAACGCTGGCGGAAAAAACGCTGGCGGAAAACGCTAAAAAGTGTCTACATAAAAACAGCGTTTTCTGCCTAGCGGAAAAACGCATTGCGGAAAACGCTGTTTTTATGTAGACACACATCAGCGTTTTCCGCCGGCGTTTTTTCCGCTAGCGTTTTCCGCAAAACGCTAGCGTTTTTTATGTAGACACTCGACTTTTTTGATATAAATATTAAAATGAAATTTTTATCAAAAATTTTTATCAAACAATTACTAAATTTAAACCATTTTTTCTTGCCATGCAACTGATCCAATATCACTATTAAAATAATTCATTAAATTTTCTCTCATCATCTTTGCTTCAACGGGCCAATTTCTTGCATGATTTTGAATTTGTTGAGTTGATGGAAGGGGTTCTGAACCAGATAATAAGTTGCGCCATTCACCATTTTCTAAATCTCGATAAACTTCTGTTTCATGATCAACCTTCGAAACACGTTTGACAATTAAAGATATTGTTGATCTGCTTCTACGAAATGAATATTCAAGTGCACGATATTGCATTCCAGTAGCAAAAAAACGTAAACAAATGATTAGCTGTTCTTCGGGTGAAACTCCTCTTTTACTCTTCAACTCAATTCTAAAAAAATAATACTTAATTTAAAAATTGATAAGAAACAACTTTGATTTAATTTGTGCTAAAAGAAGATCAAATTCACGACAGGACATTCTCGTATAACAATAAAATTTTTCTTCATCTTTACGTAATTGCTGAAACAAAACTACAAATTCACCTTCAGTTGGTTGTTTGGAAAGTAATGGGTGAACCCATAAGCGTTTCTTCTTTCTCTTCCTCATTCTTCTTAATCTTATCAATTTTAAAAGTAAATCTAATTTTTTCAATATTCCTGGAAGCATTAACTGAAAATATTATATAAATTTAATATTAATTCAATAAAAATAATCTATCGTAAAATAGACGCAATAAAATATATAAATTAATTTGTTTGAAATTTTATTCAAATATTAAAATATTTTTAAATAGAGCCCGGCTCGATACGATATTTTTTCGATATTTTTCGATATTTTTCGATATTTTTTTTCGATATTTATCGAAAAATATCGACCGACCCCTCCGGCCGGGCTCTATTTTTAAATAATTAAAAGTTTTGAAAAAGATTTTCCGTTTCTTCGAAAACTAAACTTTTTCTTGATTTTAACTCCATTAACAAATTCATAATTCTTGTTTTTGCTTCATTTTGTAATGGTGTTGAAAGATTTTTAATTTCTGATCCAACATACAAACCAAATTGCTTATTTGGCGATGAATCATTTATATTTTCTTTAATTTGTTTAGCTAATTCAATAATACAATTATCAACAGCGTCATCCTTGTCCGTGTCAGAAATTCGGCGACGTTTTGAAGGCAATTTTTGAGTAAAAATTTTTTCATTTTCATCATCACTTGAACTCATTGAAATAGTACAATTTAATAAATCTTTAACATCGTTTGGAATAGACATTGTTTGAATTGAATCAATCCGACTATAAATTTATAAATATAATATAAAATAAAATATAACCTTGAACAATTTTCTTTTTCTTCTTCCAAAAAAGACATTGAATTTAAATAAGGCCATTTAACATCTTTACCATCAGAACCAGAAGCTTTTGGTTTCTTTAATTTGGAGTAATAATCACAAAGATGTTTCCATTTCTGTTTGGCAGATTTAACATCTGTAAATTTTAGCAAAAATTTAAAAATAAAATAAAAATAAAACCATCAAATCCACTTTGTTCAGCAATCGATAACCAAATTTTATCATTTTTGTTTTTGTCTTTATGCTCGCTGTGCCCTTTACGCCAAATTATTTCATTCTGTTGTATCATCTCAATAAATAAATTCATATCAATTTTGGTTGACATTTAAAAAAATATTTTTTTATCTAAAAAGAAGAAAAAATTATTTAGATAAATTATTTTAGAGTTAAAATACAATTTTTAAAAATTACTACCCTTCAAAAGGGCCCCCCTTTTCAATTTTACAAAAAAATTAACAAAAAGTATACCTTTTTCAACAAAAAAATTTGTGATAAAATTTCAAACTTAAAAAATAAAAACTTATATCAATCGATAGATAAAAGTTTAAATTTTAATAATCTTTTTAAATTTTTAAAATTGGTTCAATATTGATCGAGAAATTAATTTTTTAATTTTATCAAAAATTTTCCGCAAAAAAATATCAAACTGTTTTGATATTAAAATTCTTCCGCCGGCGGAAAAAACGCAGCGGAAAACGCAATTTATGTAGACACTCAAACTGCCGAAAAAACGCTAGCGTTTTTTCCGCCGGCGGAAAACGCAACTTATGTAGACACTCAAACCGCCGAAAAAACGCTAGCGTTTTTTCGGCAGCGGAAAACGCAATTTATGTAGACACTCTCAGTTTGCCGAAAAAACGCCGGCGTTTTTTCTCTCTCACTTTTCCATACTATTTTCTGCGGAAAACGCGCGCGTTTTTTTATGTAGACGTAGCATTAAATAGAAATTTTAAATAAATTGGAGTGTTTGTTTTTCCAACTGAAAATAAAAATTCCGTGTAACATTGTCAGATTTCTTTTTAAAAAGCTCTAAATGCTGTACAATTGTCCGATTATATAATTGTACAATTGTCGTGTGACCAATTTAGCTTGGTTAAATGAAATATTTTTTATTTCAACATTTCAAATTTTCCATTTTGAAAATAATTGGACGAAAAGTCATTTACACAAAGCCAAATCCTTGCAGTTCGATTTTTCTTTTAAAAATTTTGATCAGCGACTGTCAATTAAAATCTCTTAAATTTACTATTTTCTCTTCCCTCTTTTTCTTGCGTAATTGATAGGCGAGAACGGCTTCCTACGATTATTAGATTTATTTTAATAGAGGCCAAGCTAAATATTTATTGATTTTATTTAAATAAAACTTGTTTTTAAAGCATTTTTTGCTCAAACCGTTCAATTTATTAAACTGTAATTTTTTCTTTTTTCTCGGCGAAAAGTTTAAAAACTTATTATATTTATGATTACTCCAAACTTTACTAATAAATTAATTGTTTTATATTAGTAACTGCATTTTTTTTATTTTTAAAAATTAATTTTTAGAATTTATTAGAGTTAAGATTCTAGTTTTTTTTCTAAATTTTGTCTGGTCAATGATTGCCAATTAAAATTACCTTTTTACTAACTCTTACTCTTGAATCAAACAAAAATCAAAAATAAATTCTGAAAACTTTCTTGATCTTAACTATTGATTTTTTTCTTATATATACATAGGACCTCAAATAAAATTTTTGTGGACGGGAAGAGGGGACAGTTGACTTTAACAAATTCGACTTTTGATTACAACTTTTTCGAAATCTCTATTTTTATAGCCGTTCCATTCTCCAAGCTAAAAAAATTTTTTTCTAGAACAAGAACAAAAAATATTAAATGTTTGGTTTTGCATAATTCTTCACCTAAAAAAACAACACAAAAAGAGGTCACAAACATCAACAACAAAAATTTAAATAAAAAATATTATTCAAAACTACACAACAAAAAAAGAAAGGGATTATATTCTTTAAAAAATTAAAAAATGAACCAATTTCGAGTAACTAGTGGTCAAAAAGAAATGATTAGTGCTGCTGAGGATTATGCTGACACTGTTAAAATTTTTTTGATTAAAAATTATTCTCGGTATTTTCAGGTTCTTCGACACACAAAAAAGATTTTGCCTCATCTTGCACGCCTTTTCCTTGTTTCTACTTTTATTGAGGATGGATGTCGAATGTGGATTCAATGGGATGATCAACGGGATTATATGCAGGTTTTCTTTATTTTTAATTTTTTGGTAGAGAAGAGGGTTTTTGATCAAACGGGGGATGTTGTTTCAGCAACGGGGGATGTTGCTACAACAGCTAGGAATGTTGATCCAACATTGGAAGATGTAGTTCTAGTAACGCGGGAGGATGTTCCGACCATCCGATTTCCTTTCAGCTTCCTGGGTTTTCTTTGACTCCACGTTTTTTTTTAAATTTATTAAAAAATATTTAAAGGAGTCCTGGTCTCTTGGGTGGTTTTTGGCTGTGGTTTTTGTCGTTTTCAACTTTTTTGGTCAACTCGTCCCTGTTGTGATGATAATGATCCGAAAACATGTTGGTATTGCCTGTTCTGTGCTGGCTGCTGTTGTTGTGATTCAAACTATTGCTTATCATATTATTTGGGATTTGAAGTTTCTTGCAAGGTTTTTTCCTTTTTGATTATTTTCTTGGGACTACCTTTTCCTTATTGAGCATTTTTATATTAGTATCAGAAATTTTGGTGTCCTAGAAGTTTTTTCTGAATTTTGGTTAGCAGAGAAAATATACATTTTTTGTTATCGTTGTTTCTTGTATTGGAGTTGACGAGTCCTGGGAAGTCTCCAGGGCCGTTATTAGAATCAAAACTTCTGATGCCCGCCCTTTTTTGATACAGATACTCCAACCCTTATTTATCTTTCGTTTTGATTGTGTCATAGTTCGATTTATTGGTAACGTATTTATAAAATCTATTTATTATTTAATACATTAAAAATCAAAAACTTGGCTTTTGATTTTTAATGTTAATGTGAGGATAGGGTCTCAAACATTATCAAGCTTATTTAAAATTTTTTAACAGAAATATTGCCGTATTTGGAGGTCTTGTTTTACTTTATGCCGAAACTCTGGAGGAACGAAAATCTTTATTTGCTGGAGTTCCCCAAATGAATGATGACAACAAACCAAAATCTTATATGATTTTAACTGGACGTATATTGCTTGTTTTTATGTTTTTGTTAGTTTTTTTTTAATTTTTTTCTTTTTAAATTTATTTTTTTTTATTTTTTAGGTCACTGATACACTTTGATTTGTCCTTCTTTAAAATTGTTTGAATTTTTTTCAATTAAATTATTTTTAAATATTTTTTAAGGTTGAATTGTCAGTTGGTGTTATTTTGATGGTTTTGGTTACTATTGGATATAAAACTAAGGTTTTTTAGATTATGAAATAGGGATGGACCGAGACGTAGTCTCAAAAAATTTCGGTTATCGATAATATTCGAGATATCAATCGCAATTCTCGAACGACCCTCCCAGTTCGGTCTCAAGTCTGTTTGAAATTAAAGTATTTTGGCCGAGTCGATTATTTTTTTAAATTTGTTTTCTTGGACAAGAATATTTTTAATTATTTATAGCTTTCTTCGATGATTCTTTCTTTTTGGTTATTTGCTTTGAATTTATGGCTAAACTGTTGGTGGACGGTATAAAAATTTTTAAAAAATATTTTAATTTAAAAAAATATTTTAAGATTCCTCAAGACCGTTTTTACCGTGATTTTATGAAATATGACTTTTTCCAAACTCTTTCTGTTATTGGTGGACTTCTTTTGGTAATATCTTATGGTCCTGGTGGTGCTTCTTTAGGTAAATATTGGAGGAAAAAATTAGAAAAATATTTTGTTTTTTAGATGCTTGGAAAAAACGTGATTAAAAGAAAAAATTGAAACTCGCTTGATTTTTTTTGGTAAAAAAAATTTTTTTAATATTTTTGTCCACAAAAATCAGTCCCCAAATATGTATTACAAATCAGATAAGAAATAAATTTTAAAATAATATTTTTTAATTTCTAGTTATTAAAATAAATTCACAATTAAATAAAATCACCTACAATTTAACAGCAAAGAATGGGGGTGACGCAAAAATAACCAAGCCCAAATTTGTCGGGCTAACTCAAGGAACAGACAAATCAAGAACGACAAATCAAGGAATACCAACTCAAGGAACAAACAAGTCAAGGAAAAGACAGGTCAAGGAACATACCAACTCAAGGAATGACCAACTCATGGAATATTTTAAAAATCAGAATTTTTTTTTTTGAAAAATCAGAATTTTTCAGATTTTTTAAAATACTGTTTTTTGAAGTATTATAATTTGTTTTAAATTCTTATCTTTTAAAAATATTAAGATTTTTCAAAAAAAAATCTGATTTTTAAAATATTCCATGAGTTGGTCATTCCTTGAGTTGGTATGTTCCTTGACCTGTCTTTTCCTTGACTTGTCGTTCCTTGATTTGTCGTTCTTGATTTGTCTGTTCCTTGAGTTAGCCCGACACAATTTGGGCTTCGTTATTTTTGCGTCACCCCCATTGTTTGCTGTTAAATTGTAGGTGATTTTATTTAATTGTGAATTTATTTTAATAACTAGAAATTAAAAAATATTATTTTAAAATTTATTTCTTATCTGATCTGTAATACATATTCCTTTTAAATTTATTGTTTATTTAATTGTGTTGTTTTCTCTACCTATATTTCATTTATGCTTTTATTGTGTTATTTTTTAGTTATTAGAAATCAGAATTTAAAACAAACATTTAAAATTCTGATTCTTTTACAAACAATAAATAAAATTAATTTTGATTTTAACTAGTAAACAGAATTAAATTTGAACAAAAACAGAATTTCAAACAAACATCCTTTTGTTTTCAAACAAATAAATTCTGATAACCAGAATTAAATTTGAACAACAAAAAAATCAGAATCAAAATCCAACAACCTGCATATTTGTGTTTTTAAAAAAATTCTGATTTTATATTTTATTGTTTAATTTCTTTAATTCTGAAATTTTTTCTCTGCTGGAGGGGGTTATATTTTAGTAATCTATACAAATATACTCATTTTAAGTAATATTTGTTGATTAAAAATATTCAAACTTTTTTTTTAATTTTATATTTGTTTATCATACATAAATTTAATATATCTTTTATTGAGGAAGTTATTTATAAAAATTTCTTGATTTAAAATGGAGGCGGGCTTTCCTTTCCTTCTTAATTTTCTCCCAAAACCGCTTATTTTTGGCTGGGTAAAAAAATATTTTTCTTCTCGATATTTTTTTAAATTGTCAGCAAAAAATTTTTTCAGCAGTTAAAACGTGTGCCACGTATTTAGTTGTGTTTGTTCAATTCTTATTCATTTTTCTCTATTTCTCTCCCTTCCAAAATTAAATGCTTTTGAACCTAAATGTTAAATAGTAATAAATTTTAGTTCTAAGTTTTATTTTATTAGAAAATACAAGAGTTAGTTTTAAATAATTCTAAATAATAAACTGAAACCTTTTTTGGGTATAAAATCAGAATTTTTATTTCATGGAGGTTTTTATGAAATTCTGATTTTTCTATTTTTATTTCGTTCAGGGAAGTATACAGTCGTGGAAAAAAGTATGGAAGCGCTAGAAAATTTTTTCTTAATTCTTAATTTTGAATTCAAAAAATACGTTCTATATACCAACCGAAAGCTCTATTCGTATCTCAGCTGACATGTTTCTGCATTTTTTATGAAAATGAAAATTGGCCGAGATAATCCGGATCTACCGGATATACCAAATCCCACTTTTTCGGAAAAATTTTTCGGAACAAATTTAACAAACCCATTTGATAAAGCATATTTTTCTGAGTATTTTCCACAAAACCGCTTAGAAATATCCTTTTCCGGAGCAGAGATATGATTTTTTGAAAATCGCATTTTTCGTCTATTTTTGCAAAAAATTCAATTTTTAAGCGAAAAATGCGATTTTCAAAAAATCATATCTCTGGACCAGAAAAAGATATTTTTAAGCGGTTTTGTGGAAAATACTCAGAAAAATATGCTTTATCATTTGGGTTTGTTAAATTTGTTCCGAAAAATTTTTCCGAAAAAGTGGGATTTGGTATATCCGGTAGATCCGGATTATCTCGGCCAATTTTCATTTTCATAAAAAATGCAGAAACATGTCAGCTGAGATACGAATAGAGCTTTCGATTGGTATATAGAACGTATTTTTTGAATTCAAAATTAAGAATTAAGAAAAAATTTTCTAGCGCTTCCATACTTTTTTCCACGACTGTATAAACTTTCCGGAAAGAAGGAAATCAGTGTAAGTTTCCGGAAAAGTGATATAAGAATTCTACTCTAATTTTAATTCTGTTTATTCTTCTGGAACATTCTACATATTTCTGATTTTTCTTCGAGAAAGTTTTTAATGAATTCTGATTTTAAAAATTTGATTTTAATTTCTGATTTTAAAACCTATTCTGATTTTTATTTTTTCGGAAACTTATTTATAAAATTCTGATTTTTATTCCACACATCTATGCTCAAAAAAGCCAACATTTAAAAGAATAAGTTGCAACTATTCAAATTTAAAGGGGGGAGGGTTTACTTCCTCGTTTTTCTTCATTTACACATACATAACTCTTCATTTTTAATTTCCTTACCAATTTTTTGTTATTTATTTTTGTTTTAATCATTCCCTATTTTCAATATTTATTTTTTCCTCTTTATTTTCTCTTTTATTTTTGGAGGATGTTAATATGTAGAACTATTTTGGGGGGAATGCAGATCATTTTTTATTTTTAAAATATTTGCAAAATCGATTGGACTTTGGCCAAATGAATAAAAACAAATCGGGTTATAAATTTGAATATTTTTAGTTGTTAGATTAACCACAAACATTTCCATACCTCTGTTTATTTTTAATATTTTTTTCTGTCCAATTGATTTGTAATTTTCTCCTTTCTTTTTATTTTTTAGAATTTAAAGTTTATTAAAAATGTGTGGAATATTCGCTTATCTAAATTTCTTTACGCCCAAAAAGCGTGCTGAAGTTATTGACATTTTGCTTCAAGGACTTCGACGTATGGAATATAGAGGATATGATTCTGCAGGTTTTTTGAGAAAAAATTTTTTGGTTAAACACAGAAATGTTTCCACGCAAGAGAAAGAACTGGAACGTCTTATAATACCGAAAGCTTGAATTACCAAACCTCCAAAATCCCTTGAAATACCAAACTATTGTTCCAACAACGGGGGAGAAAGTCTTTGCCGATACGGAGGAAGCAGTTAGGTATTTGTTATTATAATGTTTGCTGCAGTTTGGTATTTCAAGGGTTTTTGGGGCTTATGTTAGGTATTTCAAGCTTTTTGATATTATTTACAATGTTTGGTATTTCGGGTATTATAGAGTCATGTCGGAAGGGCTAGTCATTTGTCGTTCTTTGTTCAAGTTAACTCGTGGAATGGATGACCACGCGCCCCCCACTCCTAACAATAAGAATGGCGTTAGAAATAAGTGAACTTTTCCCTATGAACCCTCGGATTGCTTGATGATAAAAGTATCGTTCAACCCCCTGTGTCCTATTTACTTTTGCCTTATGTGTAAAATAGAGAGTGGTGGTACTAACTATAAGAATAAAGGGGCCTAAGCAACACTTTCATTTTGGCTTTCCGTGGTTTTTCTGTGTATCAAATAAAATCTGATTTTAGTTTTTAAAATAACTAAAAAACTCTTTAGGTATCGCAATTGACAGCAGCAACAATAACACCGCCGACAATAAAGATCATAATGATGTTGGTGTATTCAGAAAGACTGGGAAGGTGGATGCTCTTTATGACCATATTAAAGGTATTTAAAGAATGTCAACAATAAAATTGTTTTCAAATATTTTTGTGTAAATATGCTGGTTATTTTACTTTATACTTCCAAAAGTCCGCAAATCTACGGGTAAAACTTGCGGACTTTTGGAAGTATAAAGAAAAATCGTCTTGACTCTATTAAAAAATTTTTAGATGCAAAGGATTTGGATATGGAAGTGACTTATTCTGGTGATTTTTTTACGTAAGCAGTCTTTAAAAATTTCTTTTTAAGTTCATTGCGGTATTGGACACACCCGTTGGGCAACTCATGGGAAACCGAAGGATGAGAATGCACATCCACAACGTTCAAACACTCACAACGGTAATTACTTATGTTGTTAATAGATCCAGAGGTTAGGTTGGAAGATAGGTTTTTCGGACAAGAGTTGCGGGCATTAGCCATATATATTGTAAGGGCATGCTTGACGTCTTTTCTATATCGAATCTTTAAGCCAAATTTTTAATTTTTCCCAGATTTTGTGGTTGTCCACAACGGCATTTTGACCAACTACAAAGACATCAAAGGCTATTTGGAACAGAAGGGACACAAATTTGAGTCGGAGACTGATACTGAGGTTTGTATTCTATCTCATTCAATTATTTTTAGAAATCCGCAGAAATTTTGCTGATAATATTTGCGGACATTGACTGAGAACAAATTATTTAAATGTTATTTTACTTCTTTTATCAGGTGATTGCAAAGCTCGTCCAGCACATTTATGAACGCCATACAGACTTTAGTTTTCGTCAGATTGTCGAGATGGCTATTCAACAATTGGTTTGTGGATAGTTTTTTAAATTTTTTCGAGATTTCTTTGAATAAAAATTAAAGAATTTTCAATTTTTAGGAAGGAGCATTTGCCTTAGCCTTTAAAAGTCGTCACTACCCAGGTCAATTGGTAGCTGCTAGGCGTGGAAGTCCTTTGCTTGTAGGCATCAAAAGTGACTCGCGGCTTACTACAAACCATTTTCCTGTTAATTACAGCAAAGGTTTTTATTTAATTGTTTTTCAAAAAATATTTACAGAATGCTAGGGGTGCGAGAAATTTTTTAATTTTTCGTTTATTTGAGTGTTTTTTAGACATTGGCGTTCGGGAATGGCGCGAAGAAATAGTAAAATATTTAATAAGCAACGATGATAAATCTGGTAAAAACGGTTAGGATATTAAACTGGCTTGGATATTTCTTGCTTTTTTAAAAAATTAGAATTATTTTCTATTAATTATAAAATGGTTTTGTCTTTTGAGTTGCTCTATCTTTTATGCCTTTTCTGATAAACCTTTCTATCTATTTATCTATCAATTTCTCACGATCAGTCTACCGCAGACTGGTAACTAACAATAAGCTTTTGAAACTGGGATCGAGATTTAGACACCCTGCCTACCTACGTTATACTCGATTTTATTGGGCATCTTTACGTTTAGTTATGGTTCTGCGGTAGAATGCCTATGCTTTTACTTTGCTTTTCTCTCTTTTTTAATTTAAAAATATTTTTATTTTTCAGATCAATGTTATGCTCTTGGAAAGACACTTAATTTGGACGAAAGTGATACCCATCAAGCTTTAAATACACCTCCGCCAGGTGTGGCACCAATCACTACCGAGGTTTTTAATTCTGCTCGTTCGTTTGCTGGTGGATTCCCTCCTGGTAATTATTTTCATTATTTTTGCAAAATAAAAAATCTGCAAAAATTACTGATTTTTTGCAGATTTTATTTAAAAACTAAATTTAAATTTTTCTCTTAACTTTAAGAGATTCTTACCTCAACGGCTCATAAATCTTCAGGACCTGCAAGTCAAGAGGGAACTCCGCGAAGTATTCGTCCATTTGACACGACAAATTGGGAAGTTGAATATTTTATTGCTTCGGATGCGAGGTTTTTTATTTAACAATTTTTTAAAAAATTTTCTTTCATTTTAGTGCCATTATTGAACATACTCGACAGGTTATTTACCTTGAGGATGATGATATTGCCTTTGTTGAAAATGGCTCTCTTTCTATTCACCGAGTCAAGAGGGATGGGGAAGGACAGCCTGAGGAACAGACTCGAGAAGTTCAACGTCTCACAATGGAATTACAACAAATTATGAGGGGAGAATACAAGACGTTTATGCAAAAAGAAATTTTTGAGCAACCCGAATCTGTTGTTAATACAATGAGAGGAAGGGTATTGCATGAAAGTGGAAGTATTGTTTTGGGTGGAATTAAGGTTTTGAATTTTTTAAAAATTATTTGTTGACCACCGAGGCTTTAAAGTACTGAAAATTTATTAAAGGTTTTTATTCCTCCAAGCTTTTAGATTTTTCGACTTCAATATGCCTAGACGTCCTTACCTCATTTGTCAGGGCGGAGGTACTTTTGAGCACAACTTTGTTTAACATTATTGACACTAGCATCGTACAAGACTCGATACTTTAGGCTCACAACACGTTGACTGGCCCCCTTCAGTGATTAATTATGAAGACCAAAATTTTTAAGCTAACTCAATTTATAACATGTTCTCTAATACCGTTCAGTGAATATTTTTTTAATTTATAGACTTTTATGAATGACATTCGCCGTTGCCGTCGTTTGATAATGATAGCTTGCGGGACTTCTTACAATTCAGCATTAGCCTGCAGACAATTAATGGAAGAGCAGACAGAATTGCCAGTTGTTGTTGAATTGGCGAGTGATTTTTTGGACCGTGAAACGCCGATTTTTCGAGATGATGTTTGCTTCTTTATTAGTCAAAGTGGAGAAACTGCTGATACTTTGATGGCTTTGCGGTTTTTTTTGAAATTTTCTAAGAACAAATTTTTTGTAAAGTTATTGTAAACCTCGTGGTGCTCTCACAATTGGAATTACTAACACTGTGGGTAGTTCAATATGTCGTGAAACGCATTGTGGTGTCCATATTAATGCTGGTCCTGAAATTGGTGTTGCTTCGACTAAGGTTTGGGGAAATTTTTATAGATATTTTTTAAGTAAGTAATGATAGCTTGTGGGGGAAGACATCTACTGCCCGCCGCCGATGTTTAAAATTCATAAAATAATTATTTTAGAGTGGAAAATAATTAAGTTTGATGTTAACATTGTGATTAATAAAGCCTGGATTTATATGTAAATTATTCACTGAAGTGCCCTCCCCGCGAGATGACCACTGTCTTTCCACTTTTTTAATTGCAAAGCCTACCACTGGTAAATGAATGACTAGGGTCGTTTCTCTGATTTATATAATTTTTTTAATTGCTGGTCCTGAAATGAAATCCAAACCAGCATTAATTAGTAGTTCAGGACCAGCACTAATTAGTCAATTTTGGATTTCACTTTTTACTTCACCCTTAGGCAAAAAATATTTCTACAAGTGTTGCTTCTTGAATTGTTTAACTTCTCTAAATTTTTTCTAAATTTATTTTAATTTCTAGGCATATACTTCTCAAAGTATTGCTCTTGTTATGTTCGCCTTGAGCATGAGTGATGACCGTATTTCACTTCAAAAACGACGTACTGAAATTATTGAGGGATTAAAAGCTGTTAGTGGTAAGAGGAACTTAAATAAATTTTGTAAAATTTTAATTTTTTATATTAGATCAAATTAAAAAAGTTCTTCTAACTGACAAGCAAGTATTGGAAATTGCTCAAAAAATTTATAAAGAAAAATCCATTTTGGTTATGGGTAGAGGTTACAATTTTGCTACTTGTCTTGAGGGTGCTCTGAAAATTAAAGAACTTTCTTATATGCATTGTGAAGGTTTGGAAATTAAAAAATTTTTTGAAAACAAAAATTTTTAAAGGTATTCTCAGTGGGGAGCTTAAACATGGCCCTCTGGCAATGGTTGATGAGAATAAATGCATTGTTATGATTATTTGTAATGACAACGTTTACATTGTTTGTTATTTAAAAATATTAATTAATAGACTTTCCGGAAAACAGAATTTACACAATAAATATAAATTAAGAATCAGAATTTTTTAGAAAAAAGACAGGGAAAAATTTGGAATTTTATAAAACTTTCCAGAAAGTTTATTAACAATAAGTGAAAAGTTTATTTATTAATATTTCTGGAAAACTATCAGTATTTATAAAAGCATTCCAGAAAAAATCAGAATTAAACTTCAATATATTTTCAACCCCATTCTTTTTTTCCAGCGTTCTCTCAACGCTATGCAGCAAGTTATGGCTAGAGGAGGCAAACCAATTGTTATTGCTGACGAGACTGTACCTAATTCTGACTTGGAAGAAGTTGAGCATATTATTCGTGTTCCAAAAACGGCAGATTGTCTTCAAAATATTTTGAGTGTTATTCCACTTCAATTACTTGCTTATCACGTTGCTAATTTGAATGGATTTAATGTTTGTTTGGGAATTTTTGATTTTTTTTTTTTTATTTAAAAAATTATTTTTTAGGTGGATCGACCTCGTAATCTTGCAAAGTCGGTGACTGTTGAGTGAATATTTTTAATTAAAAAAAATTGATTTTGGGAGAGACTTAAATATATTTTTTAAAATTATTTTGACCTAAAAGAAGGAAAGGAATTTAACTAAAATAAGGATATTTATTTTAATTTATATGTTTTTAAATGGTCGACCCTCATTTTTAGTTATCCCTTGGAGATTAAGAAAGTAATTGTTAGGATGAGGGTGTTTTAAATCGAGTATCGTTGGACGGTACCACCCTACCTTCCAATTACCTATATTTTAAAATAAACGCGGTTTAAAACGGCTATTCATTATCGTTGGGGCTAAAAAATTTTCCACTAAAGGATGATATCATGATTATCGTTTTTAAACATATGATGTGGAATATCTTCGGCTGATGGGTTTTTTTCTTGCAATTTTATTATAAATTTAGGTTCGCGATGAATTTGGCGCATTCATATGTCAAGCTCGCCTGAAGGTTTTCATTGAAGGACAGGATGTTACTATTTTAGAAAATCTTATTCCTCACAATTTTGCCCATCCTAATCATCCTAATGATTAGGATGGGCAATCGGGGGTGCCGCTTTTTAAGCTGGGGTTGATTAAAAATTTCTAGGGTCTATTGCATCTTACCAAAACCTTTTTTGTCTTTATTGATTTTTTATGTTACTGCCGTTTATACCCATAATTTTTTCTCTTTGACAGTTAAAAAATAAAATGGATACTTTATTAATACCCATTTTTTAACTGTTTAAATTTTTAATCAACCCCACTTTATTAATATCCATTTTTTTAACTGTCAAAGAGAAAAAATTATGGGTATAAACGGCAGTAACATAAAAAATCAATAAAGACAAAAAAGGTTTTGGTAAGATGCAATAGACCCTAGAAATTTTTAATCAACCCCAGCTTAAAAAGCGGCACCCCCGATTGCCCATCCTAATCATTAGGATGATTAGGATGGGCAAAATTGTGAGGAATAAGATTTTCTAAAATAGTAACATCCTGTCCTTCAATGAAAACCTTCAGGCGAGCTTGACATATGAATGCGCCAAATTCATCGCGAACCTAAATTTATAATAAAATTGCAAGAAAAAAACCCATCAGCCGAAGATATTCCACATATGTTTAAAAACGATAATCATGATATCATCCTTTAGTGGAAAATTTTTTAGCCCCACCGATAATGAATAGCCGTTTTAAACCGGGTTTAGGCTATCATAATTGGTGTAAAACTTAAATGACCTTATTCAAAAATAGCGAAAATCAAATTAACGGCAAAATCAACATTTTTAAAGTTAATTTAACCATTTTTAGGCAAAAAAGAAAAGAGAAATTAATCTGATATTCAAATAGGGGTGAGGGGCAAGATATGAACAAAAACTACTTTATTTTATAACGAGTGTTATTTAATTTTGAGAATATCTAAAAATGAGGTTTTTGACTATATTTTTAATTTTAAAATAAGCATAATTTGACACATTTTAATTTAAATATTGTTTTAAGCCTTGTAAAAAGAGAAAAGGTTCTATTTATTTTTATATTGTTGAGAATAAATATACATATAAATAAATATTTATATTTTCTTCCCGGTATAATTTACATAATTCTGATTATTTAAATTAAGACAGTTTAGTAAATATGTTTTCTATAAAAGTTTTTCTGAATTGCTTATATTTATAAAATTTTGATTCATTAAATTAAACACTCAAGCTTTAAATGTTAATATATAAAAATGTTTAATCACTATTTTTATGAACAAAAATAAAAATACAAAAAAAGTGCTAGACGTTATTTTAAAAGAAATTCTACTAAAACTAGTAGAAATCACGTCTAGCAGGGGTTTACAAAAATGAATATTCACAAAAATCTGGTAGATATATAAATGTGAGAGGAATGTGAATAATGTGACGAGATTTTTAATAGAAATTTTCTTTTTGGATTTTAATAAAAAAGGAATTTCTGAATAAAAAAATAAAATTCTCATCCCTCGAAAATTGAAAAATAAATTTTAAATTGTTTTCATTAAATAAATCAATCACCCCAGTATCCACTTTTCTCACTCTGTGCTCACTCGTGTTTTGATTAATCAGCTGTCCCATTCTCTTTAGGCTTTTCATCGTCCTCAATCGGTTGCAGTGTATGCCACTGTGCTATTGGCCGTCTTGGGGAGGCGAGCATATCCTTTTATTTTTAAATTAAAATTCAGAAAAATTAAATATAAACACCATCCAATGACGCAATTCGGCACCCGTTGCTGCACATCCCAACAACACTCGACCTATTGCATCATTCGAACCAAGCTTGTCATAATCCATTACTGTGATCAATAGCATCACTTTCTGCAAAAAAGGGGTAATTTTATAATTTTAATTATATTGTGAAATACAACTTTAAAATTTTCCGGAAAGTAGGAAAAATAAGTTTTAGAGGTAGCAAAAAAGGATTTGCAACCTTCCGGAAAATAAACGGAAAATATATTTGTGCAAAGTTTCAGAAAAACAATCAGAATTTAAACTCAGCAGAAAATAAAATATACTTTCACGAAATTATTATTATTCCGGAAGGATAAATAATACTTGTATTTTTCCTGAAAAATACAAGTAATTTTAAATATAAAAAATACACACTAAAATCTGAATTTATAAAAATTACCTGTATTTGTTCAAATGGAACCTCAAAAGAGAACGACTCATTATAGTAAGGATTTAACGTGCATTTTTTGATTGACTATAATTAAATTTATTTTCTAAATTGACTTATAGACTAATTACTGTCTTTTTCTTTTTCAGTCTCTTTCCACCTTGCATCAATACAATTTTTACGTATGGATCTGGAAAAAAAATAATTTTTTTAGGATTTTAATAAAAATTATTCGTTTCTACCAGAAAGCCCTCCAACATCCATCTTTTTGAGATTTTTTGCTTCCAACACAACAACCGTTAATTTCCCAGCAGTTGGCACATAACGTAAAGAGAAACAAATATCCCCCAAATTTTTTTCCTACAGAAAAATAAAATTTTAAAAATAATTTCAAAAATCCATTTTACCGCCTCCTTATCATCAGGTGGGGGTTGAATATCCTTCCATTCTTCAATTACTTGACCTAAGTCAATTTTGCCTAATGGCAATATTACTTGGCCTATTTGATCGTGTTTTGAGAAACGGTCAAAGTCGTAGATGGAGAAGACAAGTGTTTTACTGGGCAATTCGTTGAAGGGAACCTATAAAAGAAGGAAAATATATACATAATTACAGACTTTTCCGGAAAAAATCAAAATTTCAGAACTTTTCCGGAAGACAAAATCAGAATTTTAAAACCTCCGGGGAAATAAATCAGAATTTTACAAACATTCCGGAAAATAAATAACTTTCTGGAAAACATATAAAATCAGAATTTATGGACTTTCCCGGAAAACAATAAACTTTACAAATCAGAATTAAACATTAAACTTTTCCGGAAAATATAAAATATTATATAAATCCTTCCGGAATACCTTAAATATAAAAGTTTCATTGAAGACTGGATTGAGTGTCTTCCTATGCACTTTTGTTTCTACTTTCTTTTTCTTCTCAGGCAATAAATAAAGCTTTACATAAGGGTCCTAAAAATATTTTTTTAATTATATTTTAAATATTTTTATTACAGAAGTTCCAGACATATCCATCCCTGGCAAATTCTCTGCTTGGATTACTGTTACGGCTAACTAGAATATTTTGATTAAAAATTTCAGACAAAATTATTTTTAATTACTTGTCCTTGTTGGAAGTCATAATCAAGTTTGTATTGTATTCGGCCCAAGTTAAGTTCTTCTTTCTGTCCAGCCTGTTCCTTTTCGTTTTGTTCCATATTCGCTCCGAGATTCTCCATATCTGCGCCAAACTGAAAAATTTTATTTTTTTTTCAAAATTTTAAAAAATCTTCTATTCGTTCCCTCACTTTATTCCCAACTCCACCACCCAAAATCCCATCAATTGCATCCATCGGCCCAGTTGCTACTTTTGACCCACCACCAAAAAGTCCTCCAAAACCGCCTAATTTCCCTGTATTTTTATTCTTCTCTCCATGCCTCCGTTTTGCAAAAAGTTTGCGGATAATACCGTAAACACAACAACAAATTAAAGCCACTCCGAGTAAACCAAAGAAGGCAACTAACCAGCCGGGTTCTGAAAGAAATAAAAATGTTAATAATAATAAGAAATTCCGGAAACTATAAACTTTCCGGAAACTTTGTAATTAGGTATAAAAACCTTTCCGGAAAGATAATAACACCTATAAGAATATTCCTATCAGAATTTATAATTAAAAGACCTATAAAAATCAGAATTCTATAATCCGGAAACATTAAAAATATAAACTTTCCGGAAAAATTAATTGTATATTAATATCTATAAAGCCTTTCCGGAAAAATAGACTTACTCTCATGTAAATTTTTATTGCTGACTTGAGCTCTTACACGATTAGCTAACATTCCAGTAATTGATTCTTTTCTAAATTTAAAAATTAATTTCTGAAAATTTTAAAACTTAATTATTACCCTATTTCTGGCATAACTGTAGAACTACTAATACTATAACTACTAGTGCCTGGACGGTTTGATCTGTCCATTTGTTGTGGTTTTCGAGTTGTGGGCCTTTCCCTTTGCATAGGGATCTGATCGGGCATTTTTTCTTTGTTTAGTTCTTCCTTAAAAATAATTTATATGTATATTCTTCATCTATTTACCTTCTCTTTTCTTGCTTTACTCCTTTCCTCCTTCTCTTCTTTTTCTTCCTCCTCCTCCTCTTCCTCTACTTCTTCCCTTCTTCTTCCTCCCTTCCCTCTTTCACCTCCCTTCCCTTTACTCTTCCCATTCTTTTCCTCCTTAACTTTCCCCTTCCTCCTCCCCCCTTTCGGCCTTTCCTCCTCCTCCTCTTCCTCTTCAGAAAATTCATCATTCTCGTCCTTCTCTTCTTCCTCCTCTTCATTCTCTTCATTTATTGCTTCTTCTTCTTTGTCCTCATTTCCATATATTTTCCCATTTTCGTCTTGT